ACAAAGCAGTATAAATTAGTCACATAAATACTATTGAAATGAGTGGGACTGAAGCCTGTCACAAGGGTTTGCCTATCCCAGAAGGAGTTAGGGAGCAAACGTAAGCTGGTCTACTGTTTTATTAAATAGGACTCCCAGGAAAGTGATTTTAGGATTAAAACCATAAGCATAGCTAACTTTCACTGTGCTTTGGGGCTGCTGAGTATCTACTAAAAATGCAAGAGAAACAATACTAAAAGGTCAAAGTTTCCCTTGCTCGAAAGATAGTCGAATCCGACTCTAGGGGGTGGCGCTCATTCCAAGCCAGAGAGCAAGCACTCTCCCAAGACTTTTCCATGGTCATGTGGCTGACATGACTAAATGTGGAGGTGCACAGAACTCTGTTACCTACCCACCAAAGTGGTACCTATTTATCTAGTAAAAGTTAAAGGTTCCCTTGCTCGAAAACCAGTCGAATCTGACTCTAGGGTTGCGGTGCTCATCTCCGTTTCAAAGCCGAAGAGCCAGCGCTGTCCGAAGACGTTTCCGTGGTCATGTGGCCGGCATGACTAAACACCAAGGCGCACGGAACGCTGTTACCTTCCCACCGAAGTGGTACCTATTTATCTACTTGCAATTCCTTGCTTTCGAACTGCTAGGTTGGCAGGAGCTGGAACTAGAGACGGGAGCTCACTCCATCATGCAGCAACTCGGGTCTCGAACTGCTGAACTACCGACCTTCCACAGCCTGCAGTTCAGCGTCTTAACCACTTGAGCCATCGCAGCTCCACCTATTTATCTATTTGCAATTTATTGCTTTCAAACTGCTAGGTTGGCAGGAGCTGGGGCCACCCGGGTCTTGAACTGCTGAACTACAGACCTTCCAGTCTGCAGCTCAGCGTCTTAACCTCTAAGCCAGCACAGCCCCTTAAAATCAATCCTGCTCATACACAAATTGTTCCCTGAGAATACTTGGGGGACACCTCACAATGGGATGCTGCTCCCAGCAAAAACCTATTCTGTGCAGCAGATCATGAACCTTGGATCTTGGCCTCAGTCAAGATATTCATTCCAGAATATCACAAAAGTAACTGTACCTGAGAGGTTTCTTTTAGGATTCCCACATGTATTCCTACAGCCAGGATAATTACCACACACAAAAAATCACACTGCTGAGAGATCTGGGTTTTTGTTGTTTTGTTTTGGGTTTTTTGCTTGCTTGGGGGAGGGGGGTTGCTTGTTTTTGTTTACACACACCAGCTTTTTCACAAAAGACACCCTACGTCACAAGGATGCTTTGTACATCAGTTATTTTCGAAACGCTGAGCCTCTCTGACTGAAGAAGCAGATGGTTTAGGGCAAGCCCCCCCTTTGTGCAACTAGTGGCCTAGATTTTCTTTAAAAATAAAAACATTTTTGCACCTTGTGGTGACTTTTTGGCATTGACATTACATAGCAGATACATGTAGAACATTCTTATGAACAGATCCAAGCTGTCCAGCAACCAAATACCAACAAAGGGCCTTTTTGTAACCTTGCTGGGGTAAGAATGATGAAGCAGCCAGATGCTTATTTAACCATTCTGGGAAGATTTTCATCATAAGGTGCCAAGTACAGAGCTTTTTAGAAGGTGACTTGTGGAAGTTATCCCAAAGACAATTTGGTTTGTACAGTGCCAGAACATGTATTTTTGCCAACACATCACATCCAGGCAGTGGCGGTGGGCAGCAAAGCATCCCCCACACCGAGCCCCACTGCAGCAGCTGCCTCCTCCTCAGGCAGGTCCCCTTGCAGCCCAGCACCGCCACAGCCAGGGAAGCAGGCGGAGGTGAGCTGGGAGGCATACCGAGGCAGGCGCTGGGTGGGGCTCCAGCCCTCCCTACCCCAAGCCCCACCCTCCCCATGTGGCACCTTGGTGCACCCCCAATGAAAATTTTCTGGGTACGAGGCTGTCCTATTAGCTCAATATACATATAAAGGTGTTGCTTGCCACAGATTGGAGAAAGGGCCAGGAGAAGGCAAGCCTGGGTAGCTTGAAGGAAATGGCTGCAATATCAGGTGGGAGAAATGCAGCCCAGACCGGAGGTGCAGAGGTACCAGCAGATCATAGAGCAGATATTTGCATCTGACAAAGGGAGCTTTGACTCTCAAAAGCTTATATCCCAAAAATCTTGTTGGTTTTCAAGGTTCTACAGGACTCAGATCTATCAATGCACTCTAGGAGCCTCTGGAAACTCTGTCACAAAGTTTTTTGCCACAAAGTTTTCATCAGTTCCTAGAGGGGCATGACTTCACTTCTGGGTTTTCTCCAGAAGAGATGTCATGCAGTTGCCAGACATCATCCCACTTGGAGTAAAAAGTACCCCAATGACAAAATGCCTATTTCTGAAGTTGTTATTCACCCTGGGGTGTTTTTTATTTACAGAAAGCAAACTGTAAGTGGTAACAGGCTATACTTTGGGGATATAGTTTGCTACTGTACAAGCGATCATGTCCTAAGACAGCAAAGTTGTACAGCCACTTCTCTATGCATTCTGCCAAAGTACAACTGGGAAAGCAATTTCACCCTGGGAGTATTTCCAAGGTTAAACTACAAGTAGTAAAGCCTTTTTTGAATATTTGTTGTTATATGTGGGAATATTAAATATTATTCCATTAGAAATCAAAGCCGAATTGTCTTCCGAAGTGAACAATAGCATTTCAGAATAAGAAAAAGTCCTGGTTTAAAAGACACATTGATAATTAATTTCATCTTGCTGTGGTTCCTGTTGTCACAAAGCTGCACCCCCCCACACACACACACACACTCTACATGGGAGGAGTATACTATCTGCTACTTTTATGGAAACTTTTTATTATTTCATACTTACATGCACCATACAACACAAAAAAAATCTTAGTAAACCAAACAAATTATAATTAATTGTATATAACATACATTAGGTATGTCCAACAGGTAGATCGTGATCTACCAGTAGATCGTGGAGGGGTCAGAGGTAGATCACCAGCCACACTTGGTCTCCTGGTTTGCTGGACAGGTGTTTGGGGTTTTTTTATGATTGTTTGGTGGTTCTTTCTGGATCTTCGTCTCTCTGTTTTGTTTTTGCTTATTTTGCTCACCAGTAAATGACAGAAGGTGCATTATAGATGGGGGGGGTGGAACCCAATTTTAGTGGGTTAAAATCTAATTTGAAACAAATTTGAAACTTTATTTTCATGGTGGTAGATCACCAGCACTTTTGGCCGGAAAAAATAGATCACTACCTGTTCAAAGTTGGACATGCCTGACATCCATGATTATGAGTCTCATTGGGTCAGATCTTTTCATTTATTTTTCATCAGGCATAGTGCCAAAAGAGGAGCTGACAGATCTTTACGGACTGCGTCACAGAAGCCTCTTAACAGTCCTGGTTCACCATCTTCTCTTGTCAAGTCAGTCAACAAATTAGGTAAGCAAATGTTAATGTTTAATTAAGGCTGTAACTGAGCACATAGATCAGTCAAATCTAGCCTTCAGCCTTTGTGAGGGAAAAGCATCACCCAGTCATTGACTTCAGTGGAACAGTTAAGCACATGCTTAACTTTTTCTCAATAAAATCAATGGAACTTGGCCTGGATTGTGCCAACAGTGTCAAAATAACACAAGTAACATGTTCAGCCTTTGTCTATCGGAAAGCAAGCTAAGACATGATTCTCTTCTTTAAGCAGAAGGTTGAGTAAATCTGCTGAAATTATACTCTAGTTAAGTAATAAACCACTTTAATCCCTTTAAATAGCTGGACTGGACGACTGGCAGCAAAAAGACAGCAAGAAATACAAAAATATTCCATGATGCTGTCTGCATCACACAAGGAAACATAAGTGATAAGACAAGCATATGACAACCACTGCTAAGGTATTATTATTTGTAAAGGAAAAAATGTCTGGGCAAGTTTCAACACTGTTTATGTGATAGTTCTCAAAAAGAGTTTGACAAATTTGAAAAAGAGCTCTAA